AATTTCTGAGAGGCCCCTCGCCGTCTTGGAACCGGAAGCTGCAACAAGGGCGGATAGCCCACGGCGGAAATTAACCTTATGCGAGATGACACGATGTCCTTACGCCTCGGCTTATGCGGCGGGAAGCGTACGCGCGAATGCCGGCGCATTCGAACCCGTTGTTTGCGTCGCCCGCATGTGGGGCGCAACTCGCCCCCATGTATTCGAAAGGCTCCTTGGCGAATCCGTGTGGTGTTGCGTCTTAGCTATCCATTCCGTGTGCGTTTGCCGATAAAATGTCACCCCCCTCACGCCCATCCCCCGAGCCAGGAATTCGCCGAAAACCCCGCTCGAAAACCCATTCCAGGGCCCATCTCAGGGTCCGTCCTGGCCCACGTTTTCGAGCCGCGTCCAGCCATGGCGGCGAGAACCTCCATAAAGCCCAAAAGCATCCGAAACGACGTCGGCGATGTCGACCGACCCCTTCTGTGTGCGCCGCCACGAAAAGGACGGGGATAATGTCATGATACGAGTAGGAAGCTCCTGCTTCTGCTCCAGCTCCTGCTCCTCCTCTGCCCTCTCTCGCCTCCTCCGCCACCTCGTCCTCCACCCCGCCCCCCTCTCCCTGCTCCTGCTCCTGCTCCTGGAGGGAAGCCTGGGGATCGTTTCGTGGCATGCATCGGCGCGCTGTACCCGTCTGAGATGGTGTTCAAAGTGATGGTGATCTGGGAACTCTGACACTGAGATTTGCTCTGATCTGGGAGTTTCAAAGTTTCTAGCGGCCCGCGGCCTTTCGAGCTCGGCTAGTCTTCTCTGGCCGCGCCTGACGCGGCCACCGTGCCACCAAGCCTTGCCTTGGTTATCCTGTCGACCATCCTGGCCTCGGCCAGGAAAGCGTAGACCCGCTCATCGGAAGAAGTCGGTATAAACATGATGTGAAAAGGCGGATGAGGTAGATTGGGTTCGGGCCCGCCCAAAGAATAACAAAAACAACAAACACACAACACAAGTAGGAAGGCGCCTGAAGTAGGCTGGGATCTGGGCATCCAGAACTGTCTACGTGCAACGACCAGCGTGCACACCATCCTGGGGCCCAGGACGGCCCTGGCCAGGCATGGAGGTCATGTACACCCAGACACCACAGACACCACATATGTGTATATAAATGTATGACTATATGTATGTATACATATATATATATACACAAGACTGCATTGGCGCTGCGCGCCATGTACCTTGGTCCTGTGAGTTCTGCACGCAAGCGGAATGCGTGCGTGCGTACATGCGCGCATGCATGTAAACACGCGCACGCGCATGCACGTTCCGTATAAATGTCTAGGTGTATACCATATACTTACATGGTTGTAGGTGTGTATACCGCGTACATATGTACATATAAATCTATGCGCGTAAGGGTATGATCATGCATATGCAACTCGTACGGGGTATCCTCGGGCATCTTCGCTGCATGCCACTAGACCCTCAGCGAATGGGTCACAATGAGAAATGTCATGGGAGCAAAATCGATGAATGTTGGCATTCGGAAACATCGTGGGGGTGTTTTCGGGGCCTTCGTGGGCAGTTTTGACGCCTTCATGGGCCGTCCTGGGGCCGTCTTGGGCCGTCTTGGAGAGCTTGGGCCCGCTGGAGCCCCCTTTGGACCTATCTTGGGCACTTCCGGGGACCTCCCATGGCCGTCTTGGGTCTGTGCTGGGAGCCCTTGGGGGGCCTCTTGGTTCCAGTTTGGGCTGTCTTGGGGCTCTCGTGGGCGATCGTGGGGCCCGGCTCGGCCTTCTTGAAGCTTTCTAGGGGGCCTTTTGGAGCGTCTTGAGGCGATCTCGGGGGCTTTGAAACCGTCTTGAAAGCTGATAAAATCCGAAAGGCGAATATGCTAAACTTGTGAGTTTTACGAAGGGAATGGGGCGATGTTTGTGCTTTGAAGGCCCCTTGGAAAGCTTTTTAGGGTGCCTTGGGGGTCTTTATGTTGGCATTCGGAAACATCGTGGGGGTGTTTGCGGGGCCCTCGTGGGCCGTTTTGGCGCCTTCATGGGCCGTCCTGGGCCCTTCTTGGGCCGTCTTGGGGAGCTTGGGCCCGCTGGAGCCCCCTTTGGACCCATCTTGGGCACTTCCGGGGACCTCCCATGGCCCTTTTGGGTCTGTGCTGTGAGCCCTTGGGGGGCCTCTTGGTTCCATGATGGGCTGTCTTGGGGCTCTCGTGGGCGATCGTGGGACCCGGCTCGGCCGTCTTGAAGCTTTCTTGGGGGCCTTTTGGGGCGTCTGGAGGCGATCTCGGGGGCTTTGAAACCGTCTTGAAAGCTGATGAAATCCGAAAGGCGAATATGCTAAACTTGCAAATTTTACGAAGGGAATGGGACGATTTTTGTCTTTGAAAGCCCCTTGGAAAGCTTTCTGGGGTGCCTTGGGGGTCTTTTGGGCCGTCCTGACGCAATTGGAGTCCCTCTTGGAGCGCTCTTGTGCTGTCTGGGGCCTCTCTTGGGCCTTTCTGATGATTCCTCGGATCGCTCTGGGTCTGCTGGCAAAGCGTTTGTGGAGACCCGGAAAGCCGGGTGACCTTTTCCAAGGACGTCCAAGGGAGCCCGAGAACCCCAGATCCCGTGGGTCCAGTTTCGGGGGGGGGGGGGATGGTTTTCCCCCCCCCCCCGGCTTGTAAAAATATAAGAAGAGGAATATATATATATATATATATATATAATATATATATATATATATATATTATATTGTCCAGGAGGAAGGAGAGCAACCACCAGAGTTCGACACCTCGGCTATGTGAAACCACAGTGCGAGCTACATAGCCCGCAGGCAAGCCCAGAACGCCACACAAACCGACCTGCGATAGGCAAGCTCATGCAGCTCATGAAGGACAAACGGGGCATCAGCAAAATGGCTTCTCGACTTCTCCGATGCGTGGGGCCCCGGACAACCCTTCCCCCGGGGCCTGGTTTCCAATCTGGCTCGTTTCGGGGCGACGTAAGACTCGGGTTCAGGGAAGTCGGGTTGGCCTGACGGGGCCGTCAGGAAAATGACGAGACCCAGTCTCAAATTTGACGGGGCTCCCGCTGCAAAAATACCACGAAAACTGGACCGCCAGAGATCAGGACGGGTCTGTCAAAAAGCAACGGCGAACCCGAGTTCTGGCGAGCTCGAGTCCTGCGTTTCGCCTGTCGTCTTATGATGGTCACATGAGCGACGAAAAGATACGGGTATCACGCGAGATGACATAGCGACCTTACGCCGCGGCTTACGCGGGCCGCCAGCGTGGCACACCGTGTAGAGAACAGGGCGCTTACGCGCGACCTGATGCGGGCAGCTTACGTGCGAATGTCAGCGCAGTCGACCCCGTTTTCTTCAGCCGTTCACATGTGGCCCGAAGCCAGACTCCAGCGGCCAAAGACGGCGACACACTGGCCGCCTTGACTCTTGCTTTCCAGGCGCCGGATGTCTGTGTGCAGTGCAGGCGCCCGCGGCTGCCAGGGAGTCCTCGGGCCGCGATGGCGCGGGCCTGGCCCAGCGGAGCGGGCGGCGTCGGCACGGCGGGCCCTGCTGGCTTTGGACTCCTTGAGGGAGCCGGCCCTCACCGACGTCCTTGCCCCAGCGACAGAGACCGGTCTCGGACACTTCCCAACTCGTACCCGACCCATCTCGGACCCGACTGAACTTGGACCAAGACCGCCCCCTCCCTCCCCAGAGGCGCCGTGCGCAGAACATGACACCAAACCTCCTCCTCCTCCTCCTCCTCCTCCTCCTCCTCCTCCTCCTCCTCCTCCTCCTCCTCCTCCTCCTCCGCCCACTCCACCCTCGCCTCCTCCTCCTCCAATTTTTTCTTGTGGATATCTTCGCCCTGTCGCACCCCGAGGCAAGTCGGAAGGGTGGGCCGGGCGTTTCGCCTGAGATTCCCTTGCCACTTACGAGCCCCAAGCTGAAAAACTGGCAACAGCTTCACAGATGGAGGGCGGGCCGCTTCCAAAATGTGGCTCTCGCCTTACCTCCTTGCACAATGTTTTTAAGCATCTGCCAGAACTTAACGGATTGAGGACAAGTGGTTTTCAAGATGTGGTTCCCGACTCAGTGCCACGAACAGTCGTTTAAACAGTTTGCAAGAGCTTCGCGGGTTGAGGGCGGCTCGTTTTCAAATATCGCTCGCTTTAGCGCTGCGAATATTCGTTTTCAAACGTTGCAAGAGGTTCTCAGGTTGAGGACGGCTCCTTTTCAAAATGTGGCCCTCGCCTTGGCGCCGCGAGCAATCGTTTTAAAACGTTGCACGAGCTTCACGGATTAAGGGAAGTTCTTTTCAAAATGTGGCTCTCTCCTTGGCGCCGCGCACATTCGTTCTAAAGCTGTGCAAGAGCTTCACGGATTGAGGGCGATTCCTTTTCAAAACTTGGCTCTTGCTCTAGCGCCACGCACATTGGTGCTAAAACTTTGCAAGCGGTTTACTGCTTCTCATGGTTACCGTACCAGAAATGGTGCTTCCGAGCGATTCAGGATTGTCAGGGCGCAACAACTACGTTGAGTCGCAATGTTGAAATCACAAGAATGGTGTTCTGGTACGGGTCAAGATCGTCACGACGCAACAGTCAGGTTGATTCGTGGCGTTGAAGTCCTGAGAATGGTGTTTTTGCACGTTTTAGGATTTTCACACGGTTGTCCCCCAGTGGGGCACTTCCCTCAGTGGAACTGAATCCTTCTAGGGGTCTATGAAGAGGGGGCTTGGACGGAGGGTGTATTCCAACATGGTTGATGAGTCTTGGGCCTACACTGGTCCTCCTCCTCCTCCTTCTCCTCCGCCACCGCTGTCGTCGCCGTTGTCTGTGGCCACCTGTTTTCCCTTCTGCTCGGACCTCGCGCCCTCTCGGGGTGCGTGCGTGGCCAACCGAAACTCCGAGAATCCTCCTCCTCCACCCTCTCCACTTCCTCCTCCGGTCTGGATCCGAGCTCGGTCGGGTCAGGCTTCGGTCGGGTCCGAGCTCAGCCACGGCCGCGCTTGGTCCCTGTCCCAACGCCCCTCCTTGATGTCTCTGCCCGCAAGGAGGGTGTCCTGCAGTCGCCTGCAGGAAGGGTAGATGCGCACGGTCGGGTTGGCCCTCCTGCCAGGGGGGGGGGGGGGGGGGTTTTAATGAGGCAGGGCGGGCGGGCGAAGGGCGCAGGAGCAGCGGACGAGGCGTTGGCAGAAGCGCGCAGCAGAGAGGGGGAGGAGGAGGAGGAGGAGGAGGAGGAGGAGGAGGAGGAGGAGGAGGAGGAGGCGGAGGCGGAGGCGGAGGCGGAGGCGCAGGAGGAGGAGGCGGAACTGGGGAAGGAGGCGGAGGACGGAAGGAGGAGGAGGAGGAGGAGGAGGAGGAGGAGGTGGCGGAGGCGGAGGCGGAGGCGACGGAGGGGAGGCGGAGGCGAAGAAGGAGGAGGCGGCGGAGCGGAGGAGGAGGAGGAGGACTTAGGAGACAACTCCTGGAAGGTCTTCGCAAGAACGGCTAAGGGCTACTGAGCCCGATTGAGGAGCCAGAAGGCCGGATTAGCCCAGATTGAGCCTGGGATAAAACCCGTTTTAGCCTGATTAAGTCGCATCAGGCGGGATGAAAAGGGATTATGTGCGAGTCGGCGGCTTTTCGACCACGGATATACCAGTGTCGATGCTGACCAGAAGTTGCATCCCAGAGGAGGGGAGGAAAGGAGGAAAAGGAGGAGCAGTAGGACGGGAGAACGGAACTGGTACTGATCAGAACCTGAAGGACTTGCTGGACATGCCCGTGCTGCGCTCGCCCGGTTTTCTGAACTTCAAAGGCTGCTTGCCGCCGCTCTCCCTGCTGCGCCGCCGCCTTTCTCCCAACGGGCGATGAGCTGGATGCCCTGTGGTGGCAGTGGAGCGTACCACCCTGGCGAAGGAGGTGGAGGCAGCTGCGAAGGCCGAGAGGCAAACGTGGCAAACCCGCAGTGGACATCAGGAGGCCCTGGCGAAGGCAAAAGAGAAGCTGGCTCTGGCTGAGAGCGCTTTCCAGGAGGCCTCCAACGAGCTCGAGAAGGCCAGAGAGCGGTTCAACCTTGCCAGAAACAAGCAGACCAACTTCAACGAGACCAGTTCAAGGATGCCAAGGGGGTTGCTGCCGCTGCAGCGCGCGCTACGGAGCGCCCAGCAGCAGGCGACCCTGAAGAAGGAGAAGTACATCGACCTGATGGTGGACCTGGCCTACAGGCCCATGTTCCTGCTGTGCCGAACCTGGTGCATTTCGTTTCGGCCCCAGCGTCCTGTCTACCATCCAAACCATGGACAACAATGACCTGCGCAAGCTTGCTGACTAGACCCGCGTCCCCTTCAGTGAGTGGCCGGCGCTACGGGCTGCTCAGACTGCTGCACGTAACCTACCTCAAGCGTCTGAACAAGCTGTTCCTGACGATGGAGGTGATGATCCGAAGCTCAGCCGTGAAGAACGTAATGGGTTGCAGGAGCTTCGTAAGCGCCCCTCGAAGTCCGTCAGTGCCACCGACATGGAGAGGCTGGAGGCCCTCCCGTCGAAGAAGTTCGAGGCGAACTCGGCGAAGCGGCTCAAGGTGCCTGCTTACCCCACTGATTTGTGGGTGTCTAGTTTTGCTCGGCTCGCTGCCCACAAGGAGGTCCCCCCCCCCAGCAGCTTTAGCCCGCCCACTGAGTGCCTCAACCTGAAGTTCTATAGTGTCACGAACTGGTCAGCGCTGGCGAAGCACGATATTGCTCATGTTGCTGGCTACTCTGACCTGTTCTTATTTACTGAACATCACTGAGCCCCCCGGCAGGTGGCTGCTGCGAACAAGGACCAAGTGAGGCGGCGCCCGCATGTCCAACCAGCTCCAGCTCTTCCTTCCCAAGGTGGCGGCTGGCACGGAGGAATAGGCGATGCAATGCAAAAACGATAAATTGCAGATTACCCTGCGACGTACCCAACACACCGGTACCCAGGGATGATATAGGGCGTGCCGACAATAATGTGACAGCAACACTGCAACAAAAACTGTGCACGGCGGATATCTATGTCGTGCGAAGCGTGAGGTAAAAAAAAAGCCAGGAGGCATTGTACTGGGAAGGAGAAGCAAAAGGAAGCCATCGGGGCGGGAGAACAATCACCTCGGCAGAAGCAGCGACATGATGGCGAGATCTGTTTGGGTTTGCGTGGGGCCCCGCTGCGATGGCTCCCCCAGCAGCCCTCGAAAGTGGCGACAGCTTCACACTTCGCAGCCCCCCAGGGATGGCGAGGTCCCGTTTGGGTCTGCGTGGGACCCCACTGCGCTGGCTCCCCCAGCAGCCCCCGAAAGTGGCGACAGTTTCACATGTCGCGGACCCCCAAGGGATGGCGAGGGCCCGTTTGGGTCTGCGTGGGACCCCACTGTGCTGCCCCCGAAAAACGGCCGCAGAAGCGGCGATCTGATTTTTCTGTCGATTTGGCCCGACCTGGACACAACGCGATATCGCAGTTCGTCGTTCGCCACATTACGAAAACTCCAACGCTGAATTGCGCGCATGGGTCCGCAATACACACCCTACCAGACCTCGCCATGATGCACCGCGATACGCTGCCTCATCCGCCCACAAATGGTCGACGCCATCAGAGTCCGATGTTGTTCCCGATGTTGCGTCCGATGTTGCGTCCGATTTGCGTCCGATTTTGCGTCCGATTTGCGTCCGATCTCTGTTCGATTTTAAGTCCGATTTGCGTCTGATCTATTTCAATATTGAATCGACACACCCAAAAACGGACGCGAAATCGGTCGAAAAATCGGTCGCTTCTGAGCGCACTTCCGGGCGCTCTTTCGGGCGCTCTTCCAGATTCGCGTCTGGGCCATATTCTGGGCACTTTTGATGGCGTTTTCCTGGGCGCTGTTCTCGGCACTCTTCTGGGCTCGCCCGGGCGCTCGCACCAGCGCGCTCCCAGGCGCTCTTCCGGGCGTTGTTCTGGTCGCCCCCAGCGCACCTTCTGGACACCAGGCGCGCGCCCAATTTGCAATGTGAAAACCGAAAAAAAAAAACAACCAAAAAAAATCAGAAGCAAATCTGCTCTGCCACCGCGGCGAGGGGGGGGGGGCCCCCCGCAGCCCTCGAAAATGACGACAGCTTCACACGTCGCAGCCCCCCCAGGATGGCGAGGTCCCGTTTGGGTCTGCGTGGGTGATTGCTCCCCCAGCAGCCCTCGAAGGTGACGACAGTTTCACACGTCGGAGTCCTCCAGGGATGGCGAGGTCCCGTTTGGGTCTGCGTGGGACCCCACTGTGCTGGCCCCCCCAGCAGCACTCGAAAGTGGTGACAGTTCCGAACTTCGCAGCCCCCCAGGGATGGCGAGGTCTCGTTTGGGTCTGCGTGGGACCCCTCTGTGCTGGCCCCCCCAGCAGCCCTCGAAAGTGGCGACAATTTCACATGTCGCAGACCCCAGGGATGGCGAGGTCCCGTTTGGGTCTGCGTGGGACCCCACCGTGCTGGCCCCTCCCAGCAGCCCTCGAAAGTGGCTTCTCTGTTCACGCTTCGCAGCCCCCAAGAGGGACGCGAGAGGAGAGAGCCAAGAGGAGAGCAGGGGGTACGAGGAGAAGAAGGAGGAGACCCCACTGCTATAGTTTAAACGAGAACCAAACCAAGGTAGGGCTGGGAAAAGATACTTGAGTGCAGCCCCTCACAGGGCCCACAATTTGGTGATGGTGAAAGTTTGTTCTTCCTGAAGTTGAAAACCAACGGGTGTTGGAGTGGTGTGTTTCATTTCGGGGCTGGGCCTGACTGGTGATAACAACAAGCGATTGTAAGATGTTGTCGATTTCTTTCGCATGACAGATACCCCATGTCATTCCTCTTGGTGGTGAAAATAATGAACCTCTTGCCCTGCAGGAATGTGGCTCATGGGAGCTCGTGAGTGGCTGCGTCCCGGAACCCAGACGCTGGAGTCCGTGGCAATGGCTTAGCGGCAGTCACTCCCACAGTGGCAACTGCCTGGAAGATACCGACGGAGTCCCAAGGATCGTGTGCTTTGGCCTTGGCGCGCTCTTGTGCGACCAGTTGCTCGACGGAGTACCCCAGGTCGCATCCTAGGAGGAAGTCGAATGCGGGACAGAAGCTTTGCGCGACGATGAGGTCGCACAGGCCCCTCACCGTCATTCCGTCTGGCTGGTCTGCGGCCGAGGCCTGCCCAAGCTCGTACCCGCTGAGCACGTCCTGGGCAATCCTCGTAAATGCTCATGAACATATCGCAGTCGGCGCGGCTGAAAGGGCAACGATCAATGAGGGTGCGAAACTCTCTGAAACTCTGACCATCGATGCCCACGAAATGGCACTGCGCATGTACTGACGTGGTGACAGAGGACGCGGTGATGGCGCTGCTGGCACGCAAGTTTCCAGCGTCGTCCCTGGTGGGCCACATGGAGGAAACATCCCAGCTAGCAGCACCAAGACGGGTGGGGGAGGCAGTGTCGGTGTCCTGGCGGGCATCGACAAGGGCCGCAAGCCCTGGTGGATCAAGGCTGGGGCCTCCATCCTGGCCGCCGCCGCTGCTTGGGACAATAGCAGCGCGGGCCTCCTGTCGCGCGAGCAGGCTCTGTGGATGGAAGGCTTGGCGGCCCTTGCGCACGCCTGGATGGTTGGCGCCGTTGGGTCTGAAGACGGTCACGGCAAAGGAAGCTCGAGGCTGGTGGGCGGGGTGGTTCCGTTATCCAGGTGGATAACGGCCCGGGCCATGAACCCTGGTGGGTCACGGCTGGCGCCCGTATTATGTGCAAGGGCAATAGGCAGCTTTGCGCAGCTGATCTTGAATCTCCTGCACAAGTTCATCAGATCACTGCTGGGCCGAGGCTGGTTGGAGCGGCGTTGGTGGTATGCGGTGTCGAGGTCGCTTGGGCGTTTTTGGGCGAGCTCGTCGTAGGTTGCAGCACCCCGGTCTGCGCCGCCACCACCTTGGAGAGCAGCAGCGCAGGCCCCCTGGCGTACGAGAAAATGTTCTGGACAGGAGGCTTGGCGGCTTTTGCTCGATGATTTGGGCTGCGGTGGTTCAGGGCGCACACGGCGAGGGCCTTCTGGACCCCTTCCAGCGCGCGCGGGATCTGGAGGTCACGCGGATCAGTCACACCCCATATGGGGTGTGTCCACTGTCGTCCTGCGCTGGGAAAGCCGGTAGCTGCGCTCGGGGCTTCGCGTCGCGGCTGCGCCCTGGGTCGGGGACCCTCGAGCCGAGACTGGACAGACTAGGGGAGAGAGGGGGGGAGGCAAATTATTGAGAGTGAAAGGGTCGGCGGCGAGCAAGGGGGGGAAGTGAGAAGGAGAAGGCCTTCTCAGAAGGCACAGGAGCCCTCGCGCCTTCTGAGAAGTTCGTTGTGTCTTCGGGGAAGGCTTCGAGAACTTCTCAAAGGTCGGGGGACTTCCGAGCCTTCTCAGAAGGCCTTCTCCTTCTCACTTTCCCACTTCGCTCGCCGCCGAAAGTGGTTGGGAATCCGAGATTAACAGGGCAGATTTCAGCCTAGAGAAACGAGAGGATAGAAGATCGATGGGACAGACGAGGGGAAGCAAGGCACTCCTGAAAAAATTGCCGAGGATGACTTTGAAGAAATCAGAGACGAGCTCCAACGGGTAGTTGTCCACCTACCCGATCCCTCAATGCCCGCCTTCCCCATTGACACCCCACGCGCACCTCACAAATCCTCTTCAAAGATGTACGCATGTGTATATATGATTTTATGTGTGCATGTATGTATATATATATATATGTGAAGATACACATCTAGATATACACGTGAATGCGCATGTGCACCGGAATCAAGTATCGACGTCGGCGATGTTCGCAGGGGCGCGAGCGAGAGACACCAGGTCCCTCCGCGGCCCCAGATCTGGCCGAAATGGGCGCGTCCCCTCAAAACGCCAACCGCAGCATCCCTAATGCGGTGGAGATCAAGACCGAAATTTCGACTGTCGCCGACTGTTGCCAACGTGGCTGCATGCATGTATATATGGGTGTATGGAAGTGTAAATGTATGTATGTGTGTATGTATGCATGTACGTATGGATGAATGCATGCATGCATGTATGTACGTGTCTGTATGTATGTACGTGTGCCATGTATCCACGCGTGCATGAATGCAGGCATGCATACATGTATGTATGAATGCACGTGTGTACAAATATATAGATGCGTGTGACTGTATGTATGCATGTACGTATGTATGAAATTGTATGTATGTATGTCGTAAGGATGCCTGTGCCGATGTACGTGTGTATGTATGTATGTGCGTATGTTTTTGTATGTGTGCATGTTCGTATGAGTAGGTATGCTCCCGATCAGAGGTTGCCCCTGTAGGGGTCCTAGCGGATTCATATGGTTAGGTGAGGTTTGCCACCGATGTCCGCGGCCCGCCAGGGTGCCCAGCTGCCCAGGTGCCCCGGTGCCTCATAGCCCTATAGCCCTATAGCCCTATAGACCTGTAGCCATATATCTTTACAACCCTATAGCCCCATAGCCCAATAGGACGATAGCCCCATAGCCCAATAGCCCCATAGCCCTATAGCCCTATAGCCTTATAGCCTTATAGCCTTATAGCCCTGCCGCCCTATCGCCCTAGAGCCTTATAGCTCTATACCACTCTAGCCCTACAGCCCTATAGCCCTATAGCCCTATAGCCCTATCGCCCTATAGCCCTATAGCCCTATAGCCCTATAGCCCTATAGCCCTATGGCCTAGAGCCCTATGACCCTATAGCCCAATAGCCCCATAGCCCTGTAGCCTTATTGCCCTGTAGCCCAATAGCCCACTAGCCCTACAGCCCTATAGCCCTATAGCCCTATATTCCTGTAGCCCTGTGGCCCTATAGCCTTATAGCCTTCTAGCCCTATAGCCAGATAGCCCTATAGCCCTATAGCCCTAGAGCCCTATAATCCTATACCCCTATGGCCCTTTGGCCCTATCGCCCTCTAGCCCTATAGCCCTATAGACTTATAGCCGTATGGCTATAGCGCTATAGCCCCATAGTTCTATAGACACCTAGCTCTGTGGCCCTATAGCACTATGGCCCCATAGCACCAGAGCTCCATGGCCCCATAGCCCTATAGCCCCCTACAGCCCTATAGCCCTATGGACCTATAGCCTTATAGCCCTGTTGACCTATCGCCGTATGGCCCTATAGCCCTCTAGTTCCATAGCCCTTGAGCCCCGTAGCACCATCGCCCTATAGCCCAATAGCCCCATAGCCCTGTAGCCTGTGACTGGGACTGTTTAGCATATACGTGTATGGATGGATGCATGCATGTATGTGTGCATGTATGGATGTGTGCATGTATGTGTGTATGAATGCACGTACGTTTGTAGATGCACGTGTATGTGTGTATGTATGTATTTGTACGCGCGCAAGGGGGGGCTGCCAGCGCGAGACCCCCCGACCCCGAGGGACCCCGCGCCTTGAAGGGGCGGCAGCGCAAACGCGAGTCCGAACCCCCAGAATGGACCCCAGGAGCGGCAGCACGAACACGAGACCGAACCCCTGAGGAGAGGGCGGCAGCGTGAACGCGAGTCCGAATCCTTAGGAGGGAGCGGCAGCGCGACCACGAGTCCGAAACCTCTCCAAGGGAGCCTCCCCCTTCCCGGGTTTGGCAAGGAAGGGATGGGAGGGGCCAAAGCGGCTGCGGGGGAGGGGGCAACGGGATGGAAGCATCAAGGGGGCGCGCCAGGGGAGATGAATCGCATGAGGAACCCAATGGTATGTATATCATACCTGCCTCCTCGCCCCCTCTTTTTTCACGTATCATCCCTTAGCAGAGTCTTGTGCGCAAGGGAAAGCTGCCAGCGCGAGACCCCCCGACCCCGAGGGACCCCGCGCCTTGAAGGGGCGGCAGCGCAAACGCGAGTCCGAACCCCCAGAATGGACCCCAGGAGCGGCAGCGCGAACACGAGACCGGACCCCCGAGGAGAGGGCGGCAGCGTGAACGCGAGTCCGAACCCTTAGGAGGGAGCGGCAGCGCGACCACGAGTCCGAACCCTCCCCAAGAGAGCCTCCCCCTTCCATGCACCCCACTCTGGTTTACCGTCTTTAACCCTGGGGAGGGAGGGTCGGGAAAATGCTGACAGCGAAGCTGTGAATCACGGCAGTGTAACCTTCTGTGCCCTCTCTCTCTCTCTCTCTCTCATTCTCCATCACGCATCATGATCAAGGGCCGCCGCCAGGCGGCGGCGGCGGTCCAGCTCCAGCGGGCCGGACAAGTTCTGCAGCAAACTCTGCAGCCCGTCCGAAATGTAGAGCCGCGCCACGGCGGCATCCTGTCGCCTGCCCATGATGAGCAGGTCGCCCACGTTATTGTAGCGACGGCAGTGCATCGTCGCGCCGCCGCGGCGCAGGGAGCACGGCACGCACGGGTGGCGCTCGAGCCCCAGGCTGGAGACGAACTCCCTCAAGACCCGCCTGAAGTCCTCCACGGAGGACCTGGGAATGAGCTCGTCGGGCGGCAACCTGTCGAGGAAATGCCGCGCGAACCTCGCCAGTCGCGGGTCGTGAAGCGCCACCGACTCCTCACAGTGACGCCGAAAATTCCTGACTTTGTAACTCGCAGCGCGATGATCAGACTGAGCCCATCGTTCGCGAACCGAAAGTGCCAGCGGCGCAAGCTCAGCAACTCCATCGTACGAAGGAACGCCGCGTAGCCCACAACCAGCAGCAGTGCCACGTCGCCGCGAGACCACGAGCGCGCCACTCTCGCCAATGCCAGCAACACGTACTCTGGCATCGGCGTGGCCCGCTGAGGCGCGTCCGTCCTCTGCCAAGCTTTGAGCAGATTCCAAGAACTGTGTAGAATACGTTTGCGTCGCAAGAAGAACTGCGCGCCTGAGATGGTCGAACCCGCATCTCCAACTGGCCGACCAGCGGCCCACAGCGCCTCAATACATACACAAAGTTGAAAGTCATGCTCCACATCAGACTCCACTGCTACACCGTGAGCTTTCACCCGCGAGGTGAAAGCCAACACCATCCTGTACTATCGTCGCAAGGTACGAGGCTGAACTAAAGTGTGTGATAACTTCCCAATTGCTCTGCGCGCACCAACACGGGACACCAGATCGCATTCGTAGTCAATACGCCCCCGACGCGGCATGATCGGCCAAGGTGGCGCCGCTTCCTCTGGTGGGGTCGTCGGCGGGATTATTGTCTGCCTCGGTGTACCCGTAGATCGGTCGCGCTGAGGCCGCCAGAACCAAGGCCGATATCCTCTTGACAGCAGCATTGAGCACATGGGAAGAAGAGCGCCCTCTTGTTATCACACCAATGCCCACCTGTGGGTCCATGAGATGAACAAACCTCGTGCACAGATGATGTCACACACGGAGTCTCCAACTTAGAGCAGCCAGCGCACTGAGGACCTCCAGCGCTGTGATGTGGCTCTTCCATCTCCAGCGCCAGACCAGGACCGTCTTCCACGTCCAGCGCGCCTCACTGATGGGCCTCCGAGGCCACCGACCAGGGCGCATCACCTCCAGCGAATCCGAACGAACATCCGAGCCTCGAACTTCAGCGCGCCTGACCATCTCCTCGACCATCTGCACGCCCATGTCCCGCTGGGCTTCGCGGCCGCACAGATGCTTGTGGCGAACCAGCACGCCCTCGTCACCGTCGGCCGCCATCCTCACTACGCCCTCGGACGCGTCGAAGCCGCCGCCCTGCTGCCGCAGTGCCCCACGCTCGGGACGCCGTCGAGGTACTTCTGGCAGTGCACCCAGCGCCACAAGATCCAGGCCACCACGGCACACTGGAAGGAGTTGCCCAGCAGGGCGCAAAGGACCACATCCAACTCGCGGGCCCTGCGGAACCGGGTCGCCATGGCAGTCGCCGCGTGACAAGGGGGGAAGTCCATCAGCATCTCCCGCTCAAAGGAATCAGCAGGCCCCAAGTCACCGCCACCCCAGCGCAAGCAGTGAACATCTCGACATCTCGGAACTGGTACGGGGCATAGCAGTACTCGTGGGCGCGCCAGCGCGCCAACTCCTCCTCCGAACACTGGTGCAAACCCTTGGGCTTAGAGCCCGCGCACGCCGTCGGGATGCAACGGACGAAGGTCGGCAGCCTCTGCTCCTCGCACTCTGCGCCACACCAGTGACGGCCCGCACGAAGCCACCGCTTGAGATCGCCCGCACCACCTGGGATCACCACCCTCCTGACCTCCTCCGACTCGTTCACAGCGCCCTGCCACTGAGTCATGTGGGCCCAGTCGCACCAGCACAGCCTCTCTCGCCGAGCATGCAAGATGTTGGCCGCCTCGATCACCACGGGCTGCAGCCCCAGCGCCTGCGACATGACATGTCTATCCAGGGCCCCCATGGAAGATACGTTGTCGGCCAAGTTGAACAGCTGCACCTCGGCGGGGAACACGCGACGCACCAGGGCCTGCACCAGCAAGATCTCGAAGAAGAGGCCAGACCGCGTGCCGCGCAGCCCGCGCCTGTCCACGCCGAGACGAGTCAGGTCCACGCAGGGGGCGCCTGCGCCGAGGATGACCCAGCGCGCATGGGGAGCACGATGTCGGATCCTCCTCGCGCCCTTCTCCCCCAGCTGCTGCACGTCGCCGAGTTCCATCATATCAGGCCAAGCATACCGCGCCACCCGGCACGCCTCCACGTCGGTCTCGGACGTGGCGTACACTGCGACGCTCAAGCCCAGCATGTCGAGAGCTCGCCTGATGCCGCCTATGCCGCCGAACAGAGACGACAGCACGCCCTCATCCTGCAGCCGGCCCCCGCGCTTAGACCGAGCCGCCCGCGCGGCCGCAACCCTGCGGGGGAGAAGTCGCACGGCTCGGCACACGGCACCCCACTGCTCACTGGCATCCGACACCGTCATCACGCCGCTGACAGGAGACCGCAGGTCGCACCTCATGAATGGCAAGAGCCCCAGCGCGATCAGGATCTCCCTGAAGACGGGGCTAGGCAGGCGGCGCTCGCCTTTCCTGCGCACCACGGCCCGCCACGGATGGTCGAAGGCCGACATCGTCTTCCTGCGGAACATCATAGCTCGCACCCAGCGGCCTGCAAGCACCTGCAGCCACCTCTGCGCCACCTTCTCGCGGTCCAGCGAAAAGAGGCTCAGGCCCACCAGCTTGCAGGCGAAGTCCTTGGGGGGGCTGATCATACCTAGGTCGCCGCCCACGGGCTCGCCGAAGGCCTGGCTCTTCAGCGAGCGGCTCACAGACTGATCCCGGCAGGGAGGGACGCCGCGGGCATCGCATCGCGCCCTAGCCAACGGCACAGCCTCAGGGGGCCCTGCACTCTGAAGGACTGCCAGCGCCACCTCATCCGCGACATCCAGGAGGTCGAGGTTGTCGATGCACACCTGCCAGGCGACCCAGGACACGCAGGGGCAGAACAAGGTACACCCCCAGCTGTCTCCGCCTCTTCCCTCCAGACCTTGATCTGCACATCACCATGGCATACCTGATCTGGCCTGCAGTGACAGATGAGGCGGCAGCCCGACAGCTCACCAATGTCCTTGAGCAAGTGCGGAGCTCCCCTCAAGTGGGCCTCGAACTGTAGGACGGCCGATGTCCTGGACAAGCCTCATCAGACCCTGAAGGGGTTCGCCCACTTGGAGGGGGAGTAGCCGCACCTCTGCCCTGTGCGCCCAATGTACACGGGCACGCACTCGTCGTCGCAGCCACGGCCAACCTGCCATCGCACGGGTTCTCCCTATGAGGCCCACGGCTTTGCCAGCTAGGCGCGGTCCGAAACGGGGGGGCCCGCGCCCAGCTCGCGATGAGGAGGGGGAGGGAGGTCGCGCCGCAACTCCTGCTCCACCGGCAGAGGCTCGACACCTGGGACCCACTCGCGCAACTGCCTCCTGTGGATGTGCTGGATGATCCCCGTCGCCGAGACCCGGCCCATGGGGGTCACCGCCGCCGCCACGAACACGCTGCCACTCCCTGCCAGGCCCAACGCAGCACGCCTGACGGGCTTGGACAAGGCCATGTACCTGTGCCAGACCACGGGCAGGCGGCACACGTAGAAGCAGCACTTCAGGTCCTCCGACGAGGTCAGGAGCACCTCGCCATTCCTTAGAATGAGGCTCTCCCACTTGTCCGTCGTCGGCAGGAGGCCCACGTCGCCCTCGATGGTCTCCTGCAGCCAGCTGTTAGGGAAGATGTTCATCACGAGGCGCCGCGGACCCTGGCCCTTGCCGCGCCCTGACTTGCGGGCCCCAAAGAGGCCGCCCAGCACACGCCCCCCTCTCACCTGCGCAATACACTCCTCCTCGATAGGCACCAGGATCCCGCGGTCCACCAGCTCGGCGGCAATGAGCTCCCACCCGGCGCCCTCCGCCCAGACGCGGGGAGTCTTCGGCATCTCACCCAGGTCTTCAGGGTTCTTGTGGATCCACTCGGGGTTCTCCAGCTCACCTCGGATCCAACCGTCGCTCACCTCCGTGGCCAGCACCGACCCGCACGCGTGCTTCGGCGGCAAGGCCAGCATCAGGCGCTCTCTGCCGAACCCCTTTCCGCGGCGTACACCTCCTCGCCTGCGCGGCTGGCCGCCGAGGACTTGAGCTCCGACCCCCACTCCAGCATCGGCGCCTTGTCGTTGCACTGCTCCAGGAAAGCGCACACGCTCCGCGCCAGGTGCCGCGGAGCCTTCACCTGCACCAGGCTGGCAGGGCCGAAGAAGCGGCGGGCGCTGCCCCCCTTCAACGGAGGACGCTCGCCTCCCATGCGGCACTGGAAGTTCAGCGCCTGCACCGCCAGGTAGAGCCACCCGCCCACGCCGTCCTCCATCGCCACGGTCACCACATTCACGACGCGGCCCTGGTCGAACTCCAGCTTCAGGTCACAGACCTGAACGAGAGCGCAAGGCAGCGGCATCAAGTCACGATGACGGCTCCTTGCGGACAGGGGCATGGGATGAGCCGACCGCTCCTCGGGGGAATATCCGTGATCTGAGGCCAACGGCCTCGCCTCCAGTGAATCATGGAATAGCCCGCCGTCACGCTGAAAACCGCAGTCAGAGGCCAGAGGCCCCGCCTGAAAAGAGTCATGGCGCGGCGCGCCAGCCCCAATATGCATCGCGCAGCGCCCAACTTCACGAAGTGGTAACCCACAAAGCCGTCGGAACACACCTGCACCTCGCAGTTCGCCAAGGCGTGGAAAGGCACGAATTTCGGTCAGCCCGTCGCCTGAGAAGGCATGGTCACGAGCCTCTTTGCACTCCACCTCGTCAAAAGCTGGCGAGCTGGTGATCTCAGTCCCCCAGCTGCCTCCAGAGATGTCAGTGCGGTTGCCCTGCTCAACCTCCTCTGTCATGCGTGTTGCTGCTTGTTCTTGCGGCCGCCCTCGCGCTCGCCCTTGCCCGGGCCCATGCCGCGGTCCTTGGCTCGAGCGGGCTTGCCAGCCTTGTCGCGGGGCCACGGGCGCTGCGATCCTGGCGGGCCCCGCCTGGCCGGGCTGCGCTCGCCCCTCCACGGGCTCGGCGAACACCGCGCTGCGCGGCGGGCTCACGGCGCCTGGCCCAGAGCGCAGGCTGGACCTCCTCGGCGGCCCTGGGCTCGAGCCGCGAGCCGCAGCCCTCGCCGGAGGAGACGGGGAGGGCGCCCGAGCGCGCTGCGGCGAGGGGGGCGCTCTCCCTGGGCTCGGGGCGCGCCCCTCCGCAGCCCGACTCGAGGACCGCGGCCCCTCCGCCCCCGCGGGCGCCGCGGGCGGCGCGCCAGCCCCTCGACCTGCTGCACTGCGGCCGCGGCCCCTGCCCTTGCGCCAGCGAGCCTTCCGCTGCGACGACCTCGGCGACTCGTCCACTTCCTGAGCTCCAGGCCTCTTCGGCGGGGGCGGCGCCACGGGGGAGGGCGCCCTGGCGCTCCCGCCCTCTCCCCCGCCAAGTCCCTAGAGGGACTTGCCCTTGCCACTTGTCTTGCCGAGGCGCCCCATCAACGTGGCCCCCTCCGAATGCGTCGCCACGGCCGAAGCCAGCTCCGCCTGCGAGGCCAGCCCGACGTCCGCGGAGTCCACCAGCTCGAGGTGCTGCGCCACCTGCCAGTGCCCGTCCTTGGTCGCCTGCTAGATGGCTTTCAGCCTCTGCATCAGCACGTCGGCCACGCGCGGCAGCTCGCCGCGAGCGAGGGCGCCCAGGCACCCGCCTATAACCCTCATCTCTCGCACGCTGCGAACTCCCATCTCGCTCTGAGGATGGGCCCCGTGCCACACGCTCGCGATACATTGCACCACGTTCGCACTCGCCGCCATCAGAGCTCCTGGATCGGAGAGGGCGAGGGCGAGGCGTTGCACTCGGCGGCTGGAACCAGCGGGTGGGGCCTCGTCAACAAGCGACTCGTCGGAGGCGATGCAGCCCCGATGCTTGTCCCCGCGGCGGCGCCTCCGCTGGCCCTCCAGCGCAGCATCAGCTCTCTCGGCGAGGCACTCCCCCATCAAACGCTTACGCCTGAGCCTCTCACGCAAGTCCTGGATCGTCCTCCTGAGCTGCTCCTCGCTGCGCGCGCCGCTGCCGAGGCCGTCAGCACCCTCAGCCGCCACTGGTCCGCCAGCGCCGCCCCCTGCGGGGCCCGCGCCTGCCGCAACGCCGCCCTCACCTGCAGGAGGTCCCCTGGCGCCGCCTTCAGCGGCGGCACCGTCGACCCGGGCGGCCGCAGCGGGGGCACCCAACCCCGCTGCAGTGGCAGCCTTCACTCTCGCCGTGTCCGAGAGCATCACTCTGCGGTTGGGCCACTCGTGGCGAGGTGGCAGGTCCCCACTGCCTGGGCGCACAAGTGCAAGACCGAGGACCCCATGCCAAAGAGTCCCTGCAGCACGGGCATGTAGTGCGGCTGGCTGCAGGACTCCACCGTCGCCTCCACGAACTGACCTGCTCCGTCCACGGGCCAGGCCCCTGACACGCGGAACTCGGCGGCGCCGTTGGGCTGGCCCCACGCATCGTACATGACGACCTCCAGCAGGGCCCCCCGGTGGAGCTGCAGCTGCTGCAGCGCGTAGGGAGCCAGCGGGAGGTCAATCATCGGGACAGGACCCCCTCCGCACCCTGCGGGTGCCGCCACTGCGGGCATGCCGAAGGTTCCGCCGTACGGAGGCAGGCCCGCGGGCACCCCGAGCAGACCTCCAGCCGCCGCCCCGCAGGGGAAGCCTCCGGCCAAGCCAGGCTGCCTAGCTCCGCCCGCAGCGCCCCACGGCGGTGCACCCCAACCGCCTGCGGGGCACCCCGCGATGGGAGTAGGCGGCAGCGGGCCCGCAAGAGGAGCTGCGCCACCTCCAGCGGCACCAGGAGGGCCGCCGAGCGCGCCGACTCCAGGCAGCCCTGGGGCCACGCCTGCCGCGCCACCCCGCGACGGCCGCGGAGCCAGCCACGGCCGCGGGAGCCCCTCGCGCCTTGCCGCGGCCAGCTCCGCGCCCCGCGGCCGCGCCAGCAGCTCCTCTCTTGGCGGCGCCGCGCCCTCCTGCAGGCTTGCCCATGCCGCCCATCGCAGGCTTGGCGGCGCGGCGCCTCCTGCTGCGCCTGCAGCACCACCTGCGCCATCAGTTCCTGCGGCCGCTGCGGCCCTGGGGAGTCGGGACGGAGGCGGGGGCAGCATCCCGCCCACGCCAGGGGCATGGCTGCGAAGCCGCCCGCGGCCCCGCCCGCCCCGACGCCCATGAGCCCGCCCGCGGGGCCCACCAGCGCGCCGCTAGCGCCTGCGCCTCCCACGCCTGGCGCCGCTCCGCCCCCGAACATCAAGGGGGCGGGCTGGCGCGGTGGCGGCACGCCCCGCGGCGGAGCCGCCGCGAGCCCAGGCCCTGCTCAGCGGGCCGCCATCCCGCACCACGAGAGGATGGCCTGGGCCGCGGCCTGGGGGGTGGTATACGGGTAACCCCCCCAGAAACCCCTTGTTTGCCAAAGCGGCTGCGGGGGAGGCGGCAACGGGATGGACGCATCAAGGGGACGCGCCAGGGGAGATAAATCGCATGCGAAACTCAATGATATATGTGTGTGTGTGTGCGCATGCACGTGCGAGAATGTATGCGTGTGCATGTATGTTTGCATGCATGAATGTATGTATACACGTAGTGTGTGTGAGAGAGAGAGTGAATGCATGTATGTACGTATAGATGTACAATACATGCATGTAAACATATAAGAACATATATGTACACATATAGACAGATTGCGTACATGCATCGCGGCACATGATGGGCATGTGGACTCCCAAATCCTCCTGTGCTCAGATCCAACCTGCTTGCTGGCTGGCAGAATGTGGGCATGTGGATCGACTCGGCGACACCAACAACGTACACACATACTGCTGCCAGCATTGCTCGGCCAAATGCCAAAGACACGGCAACGGAACAAACACAAGCACGAGCCAACACACGGCATGTTGGTAATCGGAAAAGGGTGATCCGCAACGGCCTCTGCAGGCGGGGCCATCTGGTGGCAACCCTGGCCGAGGAGGCTCGGCTCGCTGTCCCGTCGATCCACGGGCCTCCTCTATGGCACACTGGAAGCGCAGGGGAGAGCTTTTTCAGCCCACCACCATCTCGCGGCACGAGGCCTCCTCCGATCGCCATCTAGGCCCCATCGTCCCCCCCTCTGGGCCAT